AGCGACGAGGAAAGTGATGAAGATTTGAGATTAGTGAGCGAGGAGGAAGATAATGACGATACGGACGACGAGGTGTCATTTCGTAAACCACCAACGCCATACTACACAGAGGTTCCATCTCAATTTTTATATTGTCAAAATGATGTCCCCGACTTTGTCCCTATGCCAGTGTATAATCCGACGGCCAGTTTGGAGATGGGTATGGCATTCCCATCGAAAGACGTTGTTCAAGATGCTTTTAGCGAAGAAGCCATGCGACACAATTTCGAGTGGAAGGTAAAATATTCTGACGGGAAACAACTACATGTCATATGCAAGAATGCTGGAGAGGGCTGAATGTGGCAACTATGGGCTGTAAATATGAAGAGAAAGGGTGTCTGGGTTATTCGAAAAGCAGAGAACAACCACAGCTACTCCTCGTCCATACTTTCCCAGGATCATCGCCAACTTAAATCAAAGAAAGTGGGGAGAACCATTAAGCAGTTGATCGAGGCACAACCAGATATCAAGATCAAAGCTATCATGGTCGAGGTGAAGGATCGACATTCCTACACGATCAGGTACAAGAAGGCATGGCATGGAAAGCAGAAGGCCATGACTGAGGTGTATGGTAATTGAGATGACTTGTATGCTTTACTCCCTAGACTAATGGCCGCAATGGAGGAGTCCAACCCTGGGACTATTTTCGTGTCATGTTACAACAATGTAAAAAGTGAAGATCAAGTTCGAGTACAGAATGAGTTGATGTTTCACCGTCTATTTTGGGCATTCAAGCCATGCATTGACGGGTTTTCCTTCTGCATTCCAGTGATCCAGGTATATTACTGACTAATGTTCTAAAAGTTCATTATTTAACTAAGTAATATTTATACTAATTTAATTTAATTTTAAACAGGTTGATGGAACTTTCTTTACTGGGAAGTACAGATGAACTCTTCTCATTGCCACTGGTGTTGATGGAACTATGCGGATTTTCTCGCTGGCATTTGCATTAGTGAAAGGGGAGAACAACTTAAGTTGGACATGATTCTTTGACCAGCTACACGACCACGTCACACAGCAACAGGGTATTACGATTATATCCGATCGACATGCTGGGATTAGGAACGCCGTTGGTGGTTTTCTCGACGAATGTAGATGAACATGGCGCTCGTGTATTCGACACTTTCTTACCAATTTCCAGCACAAATTTGGGAAGAAGAAAGACATAAAAGATCAATTGTAAGATGCAAGTACTAATGTCTTTTTGTGCGAGTTAATTACTCATTGTTCAGATGCAATTTCTCATGTATTAACCAGTAATTTTTTTCTCCTTGAAGAGGTTGCACATTAACCAAAAAAATACGAGCAGAAAATGAAGACAATCCGTCTGATACACCGGGCGGGGGAAGTATGGGTTGAAGGTCATGATTTGCACATGTGGACGTTTCATATAGACAACGGGGCCAATTCTGCATTTCAACTACCAACCATGGTGAAAGTATAAATGGAGTGTACAAGGACCTTAGAGCGATGTCTGTTTCTGTCATAGTGGAGATGTCATACTGGAAGGTCAATGAGTGTCTTGTTAAGAGACTTCAAGAAACCTTGAGGCGGGGTTGCTGGAATTGGTTACTCCAATCAATATTGCCTCAAGTATCGATCGGGCAGGTGCCACTCCACGATGTGCCAGCAGATCAAGGGCACCTTGCACAACCACGTCTCGTGATTCTTAGGGTGTCTAAGATGATGCAGCTCGACCACTTCACGTGGATATGGGTCTCATGTAACCTACACTCATTCATAATTTGCAATTAGCAACCAATTACATCCACAAAATTGTAATTCGTTAAAATATTGAATTGTCATTATTACATGGTTCCACCAAGGTTTATCAAACTCAGCACGACAAAACAGTAAAGAGTGCTTGGGTTGGTGGTCGTTTGTATTTGCTCCGATCCACCTTGTTAGAGTGCTCGGTTTGGTGGTCGTTTGTAAGCATAAAGGCTAAGCATGTATGAATTTCTTAAGCAATTGATCAATTTACTTAATAAATTTAATTTAGGCATGGAATAAATCTAAATCAAATCAAACTAAGTATGAGATAAATTTTATATAAAGCTAAATTAAATAAACCTAAGCATGAAATAAATCTAAATTAAATCAAACTATGCATGAAATAAATTTTATATAAAGCTAAATTAAATCAAGCTAAGCATGTGATAAAATTAAGCATGGAAGAAATCTAAATCAAACAAAGCAAAATTAAATAAATCAAATCAAGAAATAAATCTAAATCAAACTTAATTGACACCATAAGGGGCATTTGGCACATCTCGTAGCTCCTTATTTTGTCTCCAGAATTGATGCGGGTCTTGAGGTGCGAACATTGAAAGATGCTCCCATGCCCAGATCTGGAGGATGAACATCGCACCACCAGCTTGTTTCGCTCTCACCTTCGAGCAAGTACACATCTCCCTATATACCCCAACTAACACGCCCGACCCCAACTCTTTGTCCCGATCGCATCCCAGTCACTGAGTAGAAATGGCAACCACATGCCTTGAATCCACCTGTTTGCCTTGTCGATGAACATAAATCCACCAACCAATCCAATGAGGTAGACATGTGCATACGCTCCATTTGATATTTTGGAGTGTTTGGGCCGATTTCAACCTCATCTTGGATGTGAGTAACGAGCCACAAGATCGATACTTGTCCTGCATTCAACAGTGGATGCCCCCGTCAATGGACTGGAGCGGTGGTCGGCATGTTGAAGCCCAAACTATCAAGAATCAGCGGCCCCAGCCTGCTTCGGGTTTGGTCGAGTGACCGATGATGGCCTCTCCAGTGATCGACAGCCCGATGAGGATGGCAACGTCTTTCAGGGTGATCGTCATTTCCCCCTCCAGAAAGTGGAACGTATGGGTTTCGGGGCGCCATTGCCGTCAACAGATTGTTGTCGATCTCCATCCGCATGAAATGCCTCACCACACCCAACCTCATGCTCTCTAGATACGACGAGAGTCGATCATGCCAAGCGGGCAAGTTTGTGGTCTCTCTATTAATGACGGGAAGAAGTGTTTCCTACAAAAAAATACAAAAAACACCAAGTTGTTAGTCAAAGAAAAGCAAAATAAAAACTTTTAAAATAATGAAATAATATAAAAAATTATAAGGTAAGTAGTGTGTATCAGATTGTTGTGCCAAATTGCACGCGAATGATGTGTTTCTTGCTCTAATAAATAGTTCGTATCTCTTGGCCCATAATGAATATACAATCGAGGATCGTATATCTCGACACCTATCTATAATTTTTTTTGAATGAAATCTGATTGTTTCGATTGCAACAAAAAAAAAAAAAAGGATTACCAAGAACTTACCCGAAGAGCCTCATGGTCCATTTTTTGGCGAAATCCAGACAGAGGTTCGACGGGTTTTTAGAGGAGAGGGCTTTAGGATATAACTCTAAGAATTCTTTCTGATATGGAAGATCGGACTTAGCAGCAACCACAAAGCATACTTAGAACGAAAATAGAGTGGAGGAATGGAGAGAGAAAGAAGAGTAGTGTGGTGGTGTGATTTGGAATAAGGGAGAAGGGTGGTATTTATAGGGGAAGGGGACTGCTAGAAACAAACACAGCGCAATCACCCGCCTTCGTCTAATGCAGGGAAGACCCCGCGTTTCTCGAATGTAGTGAACGACGTGGAGCGTTGACGTGAGAGGCTGTGAGGCGTCGGATCTGGAAGGAAAACCAGAATCCACACCTCACTGCATCCAACGACAGTGGTGAAGGGGCGAGGCGACGCAGATCGTTGACGTGGACAACAAGGCATTCCTCGCGTTTTTCCACGGCAGTGTATGCCCCGCGTTCGTCCATGTCAGCGATCAACGTTCCCCAATCCTTCACTGCAGTCGTCCGATGTAGTGAAATATTCCCTGTTGTAAACGAACGCGGTGAATTCTTCCCCGCATTTTATTAAAACGGTGAATTCTCATATTGTTCTGTTTAGATCCAAAATGACAAAAAAAAAAAAAAAGAGCGTGGGTTGGGTGGAAGAGAGAGTAGTTGGGAGAGTGATAAATCTAGATAGGGAGAGACGGCAGCGAATTAGACTTTGGAATCGTTGTCGAGGCTAAGGAAGGTCGGAGGCAGAGGTAGTATCGTAGTCAGTATTTTATTCAAAGTGAGTATGAGATAAAAAGAAAAATATATGAAACTAATTTTATTAATATTTAAATGACCTACAACGCATTTTTATAGTTTGTCTACTGATTTTTGTTTGAAAGTGAAGACTTCGACACTAAATTAGGAATTAGTACTCAAAATAAACAATTATGTAAACTATAGAGTTATTTACACAATATGAAAGATTAATGTGTGCTACAAAGTTCTTTATAACATGTTGGTACAAAGACAAGTAAAACTAGTGATCATAAGGTGTTGGTTTTGATCAATATGGATTATGTACAAATATTATTTGTTTTTGTGTTCTAATCCTAACCCAAAGTGCGTCCCGTGATCTATTCTCTTGTAAGTTGGCTCCGGCATTGATGTGAAGGTGAAAGATCATTCGGGAAAGGGGATGGATATGCAGAGAGAGAATTATGTGCATAAATGAATGATGTAATTTAGATCACAATCATCAACATCGAATGTTAAATCCACCGATGATTAGTACTCATACTAATGTTCCATTTATCGTACTTATTTTTTTAACTTTTGCCAATTATTTTTTATAGCATAAATAAATGATGTAATCTACATCACAACTATCAACATTGAATGTTGAGACATAATAAATGCTTGACCATTAAACATTGACCGTCAAACTAAATTATGGGTTCATGTTTAAATTTATTTTAAAATTCGGATAAAACTATTTTATTTGAAATTCGGACCAAAATGATCTGTTATGCGAAAATACGTTATTTATCCCTCTCGGAAAAGAGAAAAGTTCATTGGTGGGCTGAGAGCCCAATCGAATTCCGAACTTACTGTGCTAACGAGACCACCGTAATGTACCCTCCCTTCTCTCTTAACAGTCTTACTCCAACTCCAATCCTCAAAACCACTCTCGGAACCCAGAAGACCTTCACTGTTAAACTCGTAAGAACTCAACAAACTCCGCATAACAGTAATAATGGTGTCCTCGCTCAGTACCAACTTACATCAACCTTCTCTCAGGTTCAATCCTCCAGCCATATTCCTCCCTCTGCTCTAATTAAACTAAAGCGCAATAGAATTTTCTGTCCGTCTTTGGATTTTGATTTGTATGGTTTCTGTTGTGCAGCTTCGGGACGAACCTTTATTCCGGATTGAAGCTTCAATCTCCAAGTTCTGCCCTTTAGAAAAATCCCTTCTCCTTTCTTGGAATTGTGCTTTACAAATTTTCCATTATCGTGATTGTGTGTTGTTGTTCTTTGCGAATTTGCAGGTGTTCATGGAATTGGGCGACCCAATGTCTCTGCAGAGTTCTTCGGCCGAGTCCATAAGAGCATCCATTCCGGGTAAAGTTTGGAACTTTGAACTAATATCTCCGTTTTTGGGGCTTGATTAGAGCTGAGACTATATGCATGATTCGTAGAAGTTTGCAGCTCGAACATTTAGGTTTTTGCTTAATTGTGAGTTTTGAATCAGTGGCGTCTCGTTTAAAGAATGATATATTGAACTTAACCATTTTGGGCACTATTGTCTATAACTCTATATACTTTATGATGAATGCTGGTGCTATCCTTTGCCTTCAGGATTCATAATTCTAAACCGATTCGAGCTGTTAAAATGATGCCTATAGGCGAACCAAGAGTACCCTATAGGACACCAGGGGAGGGGACTTGGCAATGGGTCGATTTGTGGAACGCCCTTGTAAGTTTGTTTTTTTAATGCGGACAGTACCTTGTAAACAAAACTTTTATCTTAATGACATTTTAGCATGGTTGATCAAAGAATGCATGTGTTAGCCTTTTCTCCAGCCTTTCCCCATTCCCTCAGATGGCTTGAAACCTTGCTGAATCATTTTGCTGCAGTATAGAGAACGAGTAATCTTCATCGGGCAGGAAATTGATGAAGAATTCAGCAACCAAATATTGGGAACAATGTTGTACCTTGATAGCGTTGATGAGTCCAGAAGGATGTATTTTTACATTAATGGACCCGGCGGAGATGTACGCGTCTCAACTTGAATGCTTCTATTTGGTGCTTTTTGTGCTCAAACTACTTCTTTTGTATATACTTGAGCTAAGAGTGCATTCTTCTGTTTGCAGCTTACTCCCAGTTTAGCTATCTATGACACTATGCAGAGCTTGAAGAGTCCTGTTGGTACCCACTGTGTGGGGTTTGCCTATAATCTGGCAGGTTTTCTTCTTGCAGCTGGTGAAAAGGTTAGATTTAAGTGGCCTTCAGTCCCTTAACCTGCTAAAATTTTTAACCACCCATTAACCTTCGGTTTCTGTGTGCTTAAGTGTTTGACAAACCTTTTGAAATTTTCATCCTGAATTTCATTTTCTCCTATGTTACATAGGGACAACGGTCTGCAATGCCTCTTTCCAGGATTGCTCTGCAGTCTCCAGCTGGGGCAGCTCGTGGTCAGGTACAGAAGGCTGCCATATGTTCTTTCATTGTATAAACGCATTGTGGATATTTTTAACAAATTATGGATTCAATTGACATTTTTCTCACAGGCTGATGACATTCGAAATGAGGCTGATGAGCTTCTTAGAGTCAAAGACTATCTTTACAAGGAATTGGCAAAGAAAACCGGACAACCTTTCGAGAAGGTTGGTTTTTCACTACTATATATGAATGGTTTTGCCTCGTGTTTTTCGGTTCATTATCACCGCTCTTAACATAAGTGTTTGTGCAGATTGACAAGGACTTGAGCAGAATGAAACGCTTTGATTCTCAGGAGGCCCTCGACTATGGTCTCATCGACAAGATAATTCGGCCACCACGAGTTGACAAGGACACACGTCCCAAAGATGCAACAGCCGGTCTCGGTTAGTGTAGAATATTTATGATTCATGTTTGGCTATAGCTCTTGTCATGACTACCGTATGTTAACCAGCTCCCTTGCACCATAGTTGTACCATTGGGAAAATCAGATGCAGTTTACTTGTACAATAAGTTATCCTGTTCCCGAAGCAAGCGTTATAAGTTTGATTTTAGTTTATTGAACAATTTTTGGGTTGAGACAGCAATTAATTGCATGGCTGTCGAACTTATTGTCATATTCAATCATTTGCATTTGGTTCCTTTGCCTCTTTTAGCATACCTTACACCAACCAAAAGCTGCATTCAAATTTGGGAGACATTTCTTTCCTTGTAACCTAAAATGCAAATGAAAACTGTTCTGCCTCATGATATTGCCTGATCAAGAATCAGACTCTAATATAAAACAATGGGAAAATAAAAAATGAGGTCCAAATTTGGATGATAAAACATGCATTCGATTTGATTCCGTTCTCTTTTTCCTTCATTCTCAAGAGGATCTACCTAAGTGAAACTGGAAAAATATTGTGAAGTTTAGAATCACTACGATCCAACTTGGTCCGAGAAATTGATTCATATAAACCAAATTGCCCACTCCCTCTGGATGCGCTTACTACGCCATTCAGCTCATGATAACATCTAAAGGCACAAAGCAAAAACTGAAGCAAATGAACAGAATCGCATACAAAACTTTTGAGGATTGATAGCAGAACCAGACACCAAAAGGGAAACCAGCCTTGTCCCATTCAATCAAACCATTTCCTTCTACTCTGTCTGGTGATCCCTTAACAATTCATCCCTCCATCCTTTAGTAACCTTTGTAATGAACTCTTCAGCTCTTTTTTCCAAATTACCATCCACCACTTCTCCGCCATCAACCTCGTACATCCCTTCATCATCATCATCATCTACTGCCACTCCCTCTTCTTCCTCCTTTCTCCCCTCTTCCTCGCAATCTCCTTCATCTTGCCACCCAACCTCGCTCTCGCTGCCATCATCATCGTCATCTTCGTCATAACCATGTTCCAACTCCTCGTCTTCCTCCTCGCTACCATCTTTGCTTTCACTATCAAGATCATCATCGTCATGTGCTTCACAATACAGACCATCCTCATTATTGTTGTCATCATCATCATCATTCCTAACATCAGCAGAACTCGAATAATCATCCCCAGCTCCTCCATACGACGACAACTGAAACGAGCTCCATACACCACCACCACCATCGACTTGGTCGTCAGACAAGTTCCTGCTGCTGCTGCGGCTACCAACTGCAATGGCCAGAACCATGCTATTGAACAAGGAAAGCAGGAAGACAGGCGACAACAAGGTTGAAAGCAGAACAGCTGCCAACAAACACAAGATCAAGATCACTGAGATGGGCTTCAAAAGAAGAAGCTTCATGTGCAATCTGTTTATCACCAATATGGCAAAACAGATAAAATGATATGATTATGATGCTGCTGGGTCCTTTGAAGGGTCGACTTATATATATATATATATAACTGGATGATCAATTTAGTTTAACTGAAGTGTAAAGCATACATTCAGAGAAAGTGTGGATGAAACTATATAAGGTGTATGAATATGCGCGGCACGAAAATGAAGTTGAGTGAGACAAGTAATGTAGGCTTCCAAGCATTGTGAGGTTAAGTGGTGAAAGTTTCAGAAGCAGTTGCCTTTGCTTTGCCCCTATTTTGGAGCTAATAATATGTAAAAACGTGTTATGCCCATGGCAAGCCATTAGAGCAAGCTGAGGTGGCAAAGTTCACTGCTTTAGAAGTTTCTCATGGCTATTGTATCTCACTCAACAAAGTCTTCCTGTAAGGCTATAAACAAACCAAAGTCTTTTCAAAATTATTAAAAAATGAAAATACAAAGCATGATGTTATTATTATTATTTTTGTTTTAAAATAAAAACTTGTTTTTGAAGTAAACTCAGCTCTTGGGTGATCATCGTTTGGATCGGGTGATTTTTACTATCTAAATTGACCGATAAAGCTTTGAAGGCCGGGTTGGTGTTGCTGGTTGCTAAACTGAGTTGTCTTGTTGGTATTTGAAAAGGAAATGGAGTGGCCCTTTGCTCTTTTGGGCTTGAGCAGATAGATTGAGTGTTTTGGATTGAATAGCTTCCTCGGTTGTCCCTTTTCTGCAGCTCCTCTGCAGAATTTCAGTTTCTTTATCTTTCCTTTTGCATTTTCCTTTCTGTACTCGTTCATTTTCAGTCTTGTTAATTAATTGAATGTCAACCTGATAAAACAAAAAACAAAACAAAAAATTGACCGATTTAGACAAGAACGGATTACCTAAAAAATACTCATTATCTATGTACATGAATGAGCAAGGTTAGATTGGGTATGTTGAGAATATTGAGATCGATTTATGGTATAAAAGATAAACGGGTTTCGCAGTATTATTTGTGGAGGATGTTGTTTATGCAATTTTTCAGAAATACCACTGTAAAAAACAAAAAGTACAAAAATACAATCCAATCCGGAAAAACTACAAAAATACTATCATTGATTAAAAACCACCACATGGGGAGGCGGTTTGTGGGAGAACCGCATCGTGAGGTGGCAATTTAAATTATTTGTACAAACCACCCCTCCTGAAAGTGGTTTAGTAGCTGACCTAGAACAGACCGCTTGTTGAAGAAGTGGTTCTACGTCGACAATAGAAACCGCTTCTTAAACAGGCGGTTTATGTTGTTGACATACAAACCGCCCTCTCCCCCCTAGCGGTTTGTGTGTAGTCCTCATTCCCCGGACAACTGACATGTCGGCATGCAGGGGTTGTAGACGTGTGGTTGCATGTCTGGTGAAAACCGCTGGGGGACGGGGCAGTTTGTACTTGACATTTTGCCTATAAAAGCCAGCCACGGAAACCTCAGCAATTCACCACTCTTCCTATTCTTCTTTAAGTTTCTGTTTTGCGATTTGTCTTTTGAGTTTTAGCAATTAACGTTACTTTGTAAGTTTGTTTTGCGATTAGCGCTGACAAATTTTATGTTATTAATTTAGTTACCGTTTTATTAAAGATGGCATTTCAAAAGTTTACATTTGGGTTACGGTGGAATGGTTATACGAAAGAGACCAAAAAGAGGTTACGTTACGTCATTGGTAATTTTCACAAGTGAAGGTCGCTACGAGACCGAACCTTGAAGAGCTCCGTCAAATGTGTACCGAGGTTAGTTGCATGGATGGCACGAGAAGAGTTGATCGTATGGTGTATCGATATCCAAACAGATAAATTCATTAACTAAAATGAATAGCATTTTCAAAAATTAAATAAAATTAAGTTTGTACACATACACATAAATCCATTATATTATTTTGTAATTCGTATTGGTTGTGTTTCAATAATTTAAAACAATACAAGTATGCTCGTTAGACTATTAGTAGCGGCATAAATCTCCTTAGAAACACAACTTTTCTGACAGAAAATGGGGGATCCGAGTACCGCTTAAAACCCGATTTTTCTATGAAATGGGAGGATCATGATGATCGCTTAAGACCCCATTTCCTTAGGCATGCATCTCTTTATAAAGAGTCTAAATAAGTGACACCTTGTATTATCCTAAATAATTGAAAATAATCAATACAATTAACAAATTTATTTTGAAAACCACTAATTTACATTAACATAATAAAAAATGACAAATGATGATAAATTATATGTACCTTGTGATAGTTCCAAACATCCATTGAACGATGGTTATCTTGGTCATATAGCACAGATGGATCAATCGGTACTTGATCAACATAATATCTTTGATTGTACATATCCACGTCCTCCCCAATCTACGATAACATAACAACAACATAAATTAATTAGTATATAAATACAATAAAATAATTATAACAACAACAAAAATATGGTAAAATAAGTATGTACCGCTTGATAGTTGATAGTCATTGACTCGCTGTTACTGTCACTCTAGAAAATGGCCAAGTGTAACCACTTCCTAAAGCGTAGTATAGCGGGTTTGAGTTTTAATGTCAACCCGAGTCCTAGATGTGATGACTACTCAGTGAATTCGTATTATCTAGCAATGAAACTTTAGTGAAGTTCTAAACTAACAAGCAAACAAAACAACTAAACGGTTGTATTCAGGTTAAGAGAGGTCACCCGGATATGGTTCCCCCTAGTCTGCAGTTAAGCCGGATTGTAATTACCAAGTTCAATTTCTATGATAGTTATACTGCGGAAGGTTCTCAAACAGTCTGAAGTCTCGACTAAAGGTCTTCAGACCCTCTCAATCTGAGTCTCTAGCAGGCGACTAACCTCCACCGGAGTAAACAGATTGAGGCCCTATGAACAAAACCTCCACTACCGAATTGAATTCGGCACAGAATAGTGAATTGGCTCCTCGACTAAAGTCACCAATTCACTACCTTCGATTAAGGATACTCTATCAACCTAGGTAGATATTATCATTCTAGGTTAAAGCAGAAATAACAGGAATTTGATCAGGATTCATGCCATTCAATCATTCAAACCTCAATCGAATATAATCAATATCATAAAATCAATACTTGGGTTCATACAATCAAACCTAACATACAGAACTAGGGTTTCCCATACCCAGATGAATGGGAGAACTACTCCATGGAGAAAGAAGCAAAAGCAGAATCAAACGCGGAAATCATACTGTGAAGATGGATTTCTGCTCCTGGACGTTGAATCGGCACTTCTCCAAGCTCAAGCCAAGCTCCAATGGTGTTGAAGATCAAGCTAGGGCACTTGGAGGCTCTTATTCGTCGCTTTCTCTCTCTAGGAACCGCTCTGTCTCTCAAAAACTCGAATCCCCCTCTGTTTGGCTCGGAATCCGCTTAAAAACCAGAATTTCCCGACTCGCACGGCCAGGGTGCACGGCCGTGCATATCACCATTCTGGCCGTGCGGCTCAAAACGCGGCGTACCATTAAGTCGAACTTCAGCCATCTCGCACGGCCAGGATTGCACTTTGCACGGCCGTGCGGATTTCACTTGTGCCCGTGCGTGCTCTCGCACAATCCCGCACGGCCAAACTGGTCACTTGCACGGCCGTGCGGGTTGTGGGTGTGCCCGTGCGGCTTCCTCAGAACCTCGCCATGCGTCCGATCCTCGTCCAATCGACCTCAAACTCGCTCCCAAGCCTCCATTCACGTACTAGGACCTGAAATATCATAAACAAGCACAACCTAGCGTGAAATCGGCCTAAAACACGAGAATCAATACCTCAAACGGAGTAAGAGCAGGGGTAAAAACATGTGTAACTAAC